GTCGTTTTCATCGGACCGGCGGAAGACTTTTGCCATTCCATCACCTTACAAAGAGCGCTTGGCGCAGTGCAAATGGCCGCCGATGGATACGAAGTACCTAATCCTTGTGTGGTGTATACGAAGGACCTAATCCTCGTCTATCTCCTCCAGATGGAGGATGCGCGACTGTGGTCTTGGTCGGTCAGTAGGACCACCACGATATATAGCGGCTTCTCCACGACCTGCCCTATTCCAGACATCGTCCAAGCGGATATGAAAAGGAACACAAAGTGAACGGACAAGCGGCTCGCAGGCCGTGTATCCATCAACTCTGTATCCCGCCCACCAGTAGTAGAGGAGCACAAAATTCTGTATGATAATCTGAGGCGGGTTAGACCACATCGTTCGGTATTAGGCGCACTTACATCTTTTTCAGATGTGCGGTTGGTTGGTCCCAGTGGGAGTGTGTTTTCAAACACGTCGATGTCGAAGACCGCCTCGCTGAGGATCAGCACATGCCGAACGTAGGTCGCGGGAGTGATGCCGCAGGTCTTATGAAGGCGATGAAAATTCGTCATGTGATAGTCCACGCTGAACAAATCTTCGAAACTGGCCAGTCGGTACGGAGTTTTGAGGTAAGAAAGAAGATCTTGTGCCTATATTCATCTTCAGTGAAGCCCATAGAGTAGAGATTAGGGAACCGGTACTTCGATGAATCGATCTCTCCAATCGCGAAACCATGGGATAGATAGCAGTCCTGAATAACCGAATGGAGGGTCGTAGTCTTCCCCCGTGGCTGTGGATAGTGCACGGCTCAGCACGAAGCCTGGTGGAAGGACAATTTCGTCGTGATGAAGGGCAGGTTGACGAGAGCGGTCCATGCTCTCGCCGCTCCAAGTCTGGTAAGCCGACAAGAACCGACGGAGGATGAGCTGGCGTAGGTACTCATCAGTTTAGTGACATTGATAAATCGCCATCTCACCTGTTCGCTCATAGGCGCTCCCAGGCTCACTTCGCCGAGGACAAAAATCTGCTTCAGATATGTCTCCGGCGCCGTGCCAAAGATGCGATAGACATGATGGTAAATCCGAAGATGCTGCAAGATGGCGCGATTACGACCCCAAAGAGTACCGTCGTCATTGACAGAAAGTGTATTTGCGAATTGATGTGTCTCCTACACGGTGAGCGCGTGCGTGGCATGCATATGTGCTCACTCACAAATATTATCCTGTACTGGTGTTCTTTGTGATCCAGCCCTTCGCGCCAGTAGTTGCTACTTCCTGGTGCCCGCGGACGCCTTACGTTCGACATCAATCTGGGAGGAGAAGGAGGGAGAGCGTATCGACGGGTTTGGTGGGGCGGGAGGGGTTGCGGTTCGCTGGAGTTGCTGTGTGGATGCACGCCTTTCTGAAATCAATCGGACGATTTGCAATAATGCCAATCAGGGGTGCGATCGAGGGAGGTACAACGTCAGACGATGACAGGCCCACCCTCTATCCTTATCACCGGAAGTGCACGGACTCGTTATGGATTATCCGCATGCTACTGCCAATTGACCAGTGCGGCCCATCTCACTTGGTCGCCCCTGGGTCAGGTCGTCCCGAAGACTTCCATTCCTCTCGCGATCTTGGCCTTGACGGTAACACCCCTTTTGGAAGTACCATCCTGTCTTCAGCTACCTTGCATCATGGCACTTCCATCGGTTTGTTGCATCACATTATAGAGTATGCAGCATGCGAGGCTGATCGACATTTCGTAGGACGCAGAGGGCGAAGGAAGCAGAATGTCGGGCCCAATGACGCGAGCGAGGTCTCAGGGAGTATGTCTTCCCTTCCGGTAATTTGCCAGCGTACTGATGATTATCATAGTCTCGAGCAACTTTGGAGATCAACGCATTAGGACCGCAAATCCGTGGCACCCGCATGCGCGAGAAGAGAAAAATTGTAATCTACGCATGGTTTACTCGCAGAACTGGAGCTAATTGGGATCAAAAGAGCGACAAGGCCTTGAGCCTTTCTAGCAATAGCCGTAGACGCAAGGGATCACAACAACAAGCGTTTACATCTAGTGAACGCGAGACGCAGGATATGGACGTAGGTTGCGCCGTTCCAACGACCAGCGCGATACCGGAAGGCTTTGTCAGTCCTTGCTCTCGATTCGCGCACGAATATCCGTTGACTCCTGATCTAAAGGACGTGAATGGCGGGTCCGCCGTTTCGTCGAGCGGCACATCAAATGTGGTGGTTCCTGGAGAAACAGTGAGTTTGATTCATCGAGACTTGCCCCGATATGCGCTGATTTGAGCAATGAAGTACACCCAAGATGCCAGCGTCGATTCGGCGGGTCCATTGGCTGGCGCGACACCGGAAGGATTGGTCAGTTCGCGCTCTCAATTTGCGCACGAATATCCGTTGACTCGTGACACAAAGGACATGAACGGCGGCTCTGCCGTTGAAACGACCAGTGCATCGACCGCGGCGGTTGCTGAAGAAAC